AAAAAAAAAAAAAAAAAAAAAAAAAAAAAAAAAAAAAAAAAAAAAAAAAAAAAAAAAAAAAAAAAAAAAAAAAAAAAAGCATTGTCAAGACATAACTAGGGTATAATGGCACAATTTCTGTTCATTCTTCAAACATGCTTATGTAGCTCATTCCTTGTAACAAATTAGAGACATGAAAGGGAGAAAGCAATCTCATCCCACTGATGAGTGGGGGCCAGAAGGRTTTCTGCAGGTTACAGGGGGAAATCCAACAGACAGCAAGGGAAAAYAGGTTTGAGCACAGGCCTGTTCTGAGCAACAGGACATTTCCCTAAATACTGAAGCTAAAAGGCTTCATTGCATGGCTCTCAGCAGCACATCCCATTCCTGTCCAGCTCAATGTTAAACCCCTGCTAATCTCAAGGGGACAAGGCTCAGGCCCTCTGTAAACKGYGTACCCTTTCTGATGGAATGAGGTRTCATGTTTAAATAATTATTCCCTATCAGCTGCTTTCTAAGGGCCTCTTGAATTGCCATGGCAGAGCTGCTCCCACCCTAGGCACATCAGAGATGCAGGGACAGAGGCTCAATGACAGGGCAGAGGCAGCCCAGGAGCYGTGCAGGACACCCTTCCCGGGTCCCCACGAGCACCGGGTTCATCACAAACACAGGATGGGAGCAGCGCGGCCCCAAGGGTCCAGTCCGTGTCACTGGGAGTTACATGCATAAATGAAGAGAGATAAACAGTCCCTAAAGCAGGATGCTGGAATAAATCTCAGTGTTTTTCCACTGTTCCTGAGAAGCATGAGAGCTGACACCGCTTTTCCCAGTCTGGGGCATGGTTTGCACTGGTGCCACCACAACCTCCCCAGCCATGGACCACCAGTCCTCACTCACAGACYCTCCTCCCTGTGCCTGTGTGCCCTGCCCACACACCCAGACATCTCCAGCACATAAAACTGCCTCTAAATACAAGATACTTAAAAACTCAGAGCTAGCCATGACAGGATTTGCCCACATCTCCTGGCAAATCTGTGGTGTTTGATCTAACATCCTTTCAGGGRAGCTCCTTTACATCACCGAGATCAYKASACAAACTATTGCTCTCATTTTTCCCTCCTGATATAAGACAGCAAAGAGAACAGGACAGGAATGCACATCCTTTTAACTTCTAGGCAGCCAAGGGGTTTGCAAAAACATTTTGTCAGAGGCACAGCTCTCTTCAGCTCCTTTTTCTTCTACTCATTTGTGCTTCACACATCCCAGTTTGCATTTATTTCATGCAGCTTCTACCTTGCTGTGTTTTTGGGCACTAGTACCACCATTAACTTGTCCCAAGAGGAGTCACTTCAGAATGGTRCTGCTCCTGCCCTTCGTGCTCAGGCCTCATCCAAAATCCTACTCAGGGGCTTTGGGGACAAAGCCAGGGGACATGGTTTAACCTGGGGGTGGCCCTGCTGCAGACCAGGCCAGCACCACTGCAGGTGACCATGGCATAGCTGTGCCTCTGCCCTCCCACTGTGGGCTGGGACAGGGCTGGGACCCTGGGGCCATGCAGGCACACCGCCCCTGGAGCCAGCAGCAGCTCCACATAGCTGCAGTTGTGCCATCCCTCAGGGAAAACCTCAGCAGGAGCATCCCAGAACACCCACCAGGGTGAGAGCAGGGCTGCCCTCCTGCCCCAGTTGTGCAGGGCAAGGGGGTCTCCAGAACTGCTGTACCAGAGCCCAGGGACAGCAGCTGCCCCTGGGATGGCCCAGGAACTGGCACACAGCTCCCCTTGGACTGCCCCGGGTGGCACCCACACCCCAAATCCCTGCTTCTTGTCCCCTGGGAGCTGTGCTGAGGCTGTGCTGCCCACAAACACCCCAAACACTTGGGCTTTTCTCTGCCTGTGCTGCTCCCCTTGGAAACAGCTGTTTAGACTGTAAAAAGCCAGGTCAGACAACTGTCCACCGAGTTCCAAYAGATGTTGTTAAAAAGGGTCAACTTACTTTCAACCTCTCAGAAAAATAACTTTGTTCAGAGGGAAATTGG